GGGGGCGGAGCCGAAGGCGGGACGCACAGCGGGGGGCGGAACTGAAGGCGGGACGCACAGCCGTGGAACGGAGCCTAGAATGGGACGCACAGCCGGAAAGCGGAGCCCAGGGCTGATGCACAGCCGGTGAGGTGGAGCCGAGGGTTGGACGCACAGCCAGGTGGCCGAGCCAAAGGCGGGAAGCACAGCCGGTGGTCGGGGGAAGCCGGGGGGCGGGGGGGAAGCCGGGGGTGCGGGGAAGCCGGTGGGGGGGCGGGGAAGCCGAGGGTGGGACGCACAGCCGGGGGCCGGAGCCCTGGGGCTGATGCACAGCTGGGGAGGTGGAGCCGAGGGCCTGACGCACAGCCGGGGGGCGGAGCCAAGGGCCGGACACACAACCGGGAGGCGGAACCGAGGGCCGGACGCAAAGCTGGGGGCGGAGCCGAGGGTGGGATGCAAAGCCGGCGGCGGAGCCGAGGGTCGAACATGCAGCTAGGGGCGGAGCCGAGGGCTGGACACAGCCGGGGGGTGGAGCCGAGGGCTGGACGCACAGCCAGGAGACGGAACCCAGGGCCGGACGCACAGCCGGGAGACGGAAACAACGGCTGGACGCACAGCCGGGGGGTGGGGCCGAGGGCCGGACGCACAGCCGGGAGGCGGAACCAAGGGCTGGACGTACAGCCGGGGGGTGGAGCCGAGGGCCGGACGCACAGCCGGGAGGCGGAACCAAGGGCTGGGCGCACAGCCGGGGGTGGTGCCAAGGGGCGGGGCCATAGCCGAGGGGCGGAGCTGAGGGACGGACGCACAGCTCTGGACCTAGCAGGCCGGATGGGGACACGTGGGACCCACCCCCAGTGCACCTGGGAAAGTCTGAAAATGCGCCAACTGGACGCCCTTCAGGTTCAATCAGTAAAGAGACTCAGTGATGTCCTAGTAGATGCCAGGCTCATCAGGCAGCCCCCAGCAGGGTGAACAAACTCTCCCAGGGGACACAGCACACAGCCCGGCGTCCCCAGTCCCCGCCGGGACGAACTCAAGTGTCCCCATCCTTCCTTGTCCGGGGGCCCATGTGTCTCCGTCCTGGCTCATGGGCCCCGCTGCGCTGTGAACTCCTCAAACTCCCCTTGCTTTCCGGCTGTGACAGTTCTGAGTGCAGGCTGGGTGTCTGCAGGACGCCCCAACGTTGGGACTGGCCTGATGTTTGTCTCAAGGTGAGACTGCTCTCAGAGCCTCCTTAGCTTCTGAATCAAAGCAGCACCTTCCTTGAAAAATCCACATTCCTACCTTTTTGGGGGATTCTGCAACTGCCAAAACAAGCAACCACAAACCCTGCCCCAACTTTCTAACTTCAGACAACTGACTAGAAGGTTCCCCAAGCACAGGGGGCCTGGACATGCTGTATGGCAGCCACTCTGCCTTTCTGGGCCTCTGGATGGGGACACTGGGGGGACCCGGTGTCCTGCCCCTCAAAGGTCACAGTCGCACCTTCAGCGTTTGTGTTTCTGCCTATTCCTGACCTAAGCAACAGTCGGCGCTGTGAAAAGAAGGGCGTGGGGGCACCGAGCCCATCCGGGGAGCACGCTCTGAGAATGGCCCCAGGCCCCCCAGGTCTCACTGCGAGGAGGCTGTGGGCCGAGCACTGCACAGCCCCTGGCCACCTCTGCGGAGAAGGGTCCCAAAGACAAGCCCAGCTTAGCAGGAGCCCCTCCAGGGGTGTGTCTGGACACAGCCTGGGGTCTCCCACAATGCCCCACACACAGTGGATGGCACAGCCGCGTGGGTCCGGCTGAGCGCTGGCTGTGGCAGGAGGCACCTGGCTCCAGAGTCAGAGCTGGCTCAATGTCACATGCCCACTGGGGACCCCATCCTGCCACCTCCCTGGGTGCCAGGCTCCACTGAGGCAAGCAGGGAACAAAATTGTGGGGAACACAAGGGCCACTACCCCTCCTTCAGCCTTAACTCTGACAATCTCAAGGGGCTCTGTGCGTTCCTTTGAGATTCTATAATTAGGAATTCTGAGGAGCTCAGTTTCCATGGTAATCTCGCGCCTTGCGCGCTGACAAGACGTAGAAAACACATTTTAACACACTAAGCTTGGAGCAGCAGGCTGGGACAGGTGACAGCCCTGGGGTGTGGGGGCAGTGAGGGAGGGGCTGCATCCCTGGCAGCAGGTCAGGGGGCACTTGAGGGCTCCCTGTTCCCTGGACACGGCACTGCTACATGGGGTGACCAGCACAGCCCAAAGCAATGCCAGAGGACAGGCCTGCAGTGTCCAGACAGGGGCAAGTCAGGAGCCAAGCGACATGCAGACAGCCAGGTGCCTCCTATGGTGGCCCAGGTCAGTGACCAGGAAGACGGGATAGTGAGGTGCCCTTGGGACCGGGGGTCCCCAGAAGCCGGGGTGCAGCTGTTACCAAGGGTGCGGGTAAAACGGGCACTGCCACCTCCAGACTCCGCGTCTTCCCTGGGCAGTGACTTCCACTGGATTCTGAGCTCCAGGAGCTAGGGGCCGCCTGCCTTCCTCTCCAGCCTCCGCGGCACAGTCAGCTGCCAGCATGTCCTGGGCAAATCAAGACATGAGAGTAGCAGTGACCACCAATGCATGTCCAGAGCTACGGTGTCCCGGCGCTGCCCACGGCCCAGACGCTGGAGTTCGGGGTTTTGGGTGGGACTCTCCACTTTGCCTCACTCAGCCTGGTTGGCCATCAGTCCACAAACTGACCTGCGCCCTCTACGGTGGGCACTGGGCCACCCTGGCAGGGGACTGTCAGAACAATAGGGCACACGGACGCGGAGTCCTAATAAGCCAACAAAAGCCGCAGGAAAACGCCATTTGCCTATTTACTGATGCAGAGCCCCCGAGCCTTGGCTACCCTGCACCAGGGTTCCCACCGCCTTTCCGGCTGGAGCGCCCCCGGCAGAGCTGCCTGTCAGTCCTTCCTTCCTTCTGCACTGGAGAGTGCCCGCCATGCAGGCACCG